GCAGGGCTCGTTGAACAGGGACAGCATAGAGCCTTCTAAGGGAACAGCAAACTCTCCTGCAGCAGAGACCAAATGTGCCACCTTTGAGCATGACATTCTTGGGGATCCAGAAACGCAAGCGTGTTGTGTGAGCTGATGCATATTTGGGAATTTTGCCCTGAATTTGTCTTTAGTTCATTTTTCTCTGCAGATTTTTTTTTAGTATCGCTTAGACACTATGCAGGGCCATCAGAGTCCTGCAGACTCCTATTAAGTTCTTACCTTCCCTCTGCTTTTCTGTTGAGAGGGTCAGTCAAAAATCTAAGACAAAAATCCAAGAACTAATTCCTCCCATGTATCTATAGTAACCTCTTGCATCTTAGACATCTAGCACAGGCTTTGAAGTGCAAGTAAAATTTGAATTTACTGACCCTAATAGCTTTGTCTGAAGTTTTTTTCATCTGCAGGGTCAACTGTGGGAAACATGTCTATCATGTATTTTGAATTTTAAAGGCTGCATTATACAGACTTTTCTCCACGTCTCCTTTTTTATTTATTATGTATTTTTTTTCTCATGTAGCTGGGTGCCTCTACAAAACCATACTGTGTGGATAAAACTGAAAACACAAACACAAAACCCAGAAATTTTCAAAAGTTTTTCACATTCATCAGTCATGTAGATATATAAATTTTTCTGAACAATAAATCTGAATAATTGTTTCATGATACTCTTCCTGCTGTCATCCATGACTGACTGTAGAGCCCAAAGTAATTTATTTTCCATGTTTTAAATACCATTTTTTTAATGCTAGCCTCGGATATCCTTTTTTTTCCCCCCGACATGTCTTTTTGCCCTGCCTTTTTGAAATTTTACCATAATACTCTGTAGGAAGTGTCCTTAGACATTTGTTGTTGGTTTTTTGTTTGGTTGGTTGATTGGTTGTTTGTTTTGTTTTGTTTTGTTGGGTTTTTTTGCTTTGACAACCTTGAAGTGAGCTACATTAGGATTTTCCTGAAGTGGGCATCAGAAATGTAAATTTTTCACCTTTGACAGTCCAGAAAAATTTCCTGACACAGTGGAAAGGAATGTTTGCTGTACCAATACATGACTGTATGTGTCATAACAATTGCACCTCTCCTACACTCTCTTATAAAAATCGTTTGTGTCTTACCTTGTTCAGGCGGAATGTCTTGGTCAGCTTCCTTGAAAGGTGGTTCTGCTATATCAGTCAGTTCTGCCTTCTCCTCATCTTCATTATCTTCATCTCTGGCTTGCAGACTAGGTGGGGTAAAGCTACCCGTGGTATAAGTTGCCATTGTGGTAGCCTGCTCCACTGGAGACTCATAGCCATCGGTGATAAGGTCACTGCCAGCAGAATCATCTGCTGGAGGAGGCAAATTGGAATCCTCTGATTTTGGAGGACTGCTAGTGCTCCCCAGAGCACTGAAAGGCACTGTGAAACTTTGAAGGTCAGTAACTCTGTGTGGAGGAGATCTGTCCGGGAATGGTTCTCTGGAGGGTTTGGTAGGGAACTCAGGTTCAGATGTAATAAAATTACTGAATTCTTCAGAGATGCTGATCTCTTCACTTAGATCAGGGCTTTCAGTTGTAAATTCATCAACCAAGGTGTCTCCTATTTGGTCCACTGTTGCTGGGCTGGGGTAACCTAGTGGGAGTTCCACACTCATAGATTCTTCCTGAAAAGTTTTAAAAAAGCAGCTTTCATTATCATGTTTAAGTTTTATTCCTAAAAAGGCCAGTAATCTCTAGGCACATGAACTTGCAAACAGCTAAGTCAACATAAAGTCATACACTGCTTTGGGTTGGAAGGGACCTTAAAGATCACCTAGTTCCAACCCCTCTGCCATGGGCAGGGGCAGCCTCCACTAGACTGTGTTCAATGCCACATCCAGCCTGGCCTTGAACGCTGCCTGGACTGGAGCATCCACAACTTCTCTGGGCAACCTGTTCCAGTGCCTCAACACCCTCAAAGTAAAGAATTTCTTCCATATATCTAACCTGAATTTCCCATCTTTCAGTTTGAACCCATTACTCCTTGTCCTGTCATTACAGTTCATGATGAAAAGTCCCTCTTCAGCTTTCTTGTAGGCCCCCTTCAGACATAGGAGGGCTCCTATGAAGTCATGGGATGTATAAAATGTTTGGCATCTGCATATGCTCCTAATCACATTGCCTGTAATTTTAAAAATGGTCAAAGAAAGATGGCCTTCATTATCCCTGTCAATTGCTCTGTACTACTGAACTACTAAGACATTGTTTACTTTGTAATTAAAACTGGAAGAGGTATTTAGGCAGCAATATTAACCTGTAAATGCTCTAAACTGCATCTCCTCTGTTGTAGTATAACAATGAAACATTCATCCTCACAGCAAGTACAAAAAGCAGATATATTAGCGTAAGAAACACGGTTTTTTAATATTTATGTTCATCTTAACACTGTTTAATTTTATTTCCTATGGAAAAGTAAATAAATATGACAACCAGTATTAACCTACCAAATCAGGGCCTGCCAGAGGAATAGTGACCATGCCTTGGATATCATTATCAAAATCACTAGGTGGTATAATAGATTCTGAAAAAAAACCAACACAAAAACCAAAAAAACACACAAACAAACAAAAAAACATTAGAGAGGGAGGGAGAGAAAACAATGAGGGAGGGAGAGAAAACAATATTTCAAGACCAGCATGATGAAAATTGATCAAAACACATAAGCTCTGTAAAAAACATTACTAAACTATTCTCCATAAAAAAATTACTTTTTAAAATCCATGTTAAGAAGAGCAAACCATCAGTGTTCATTCACCCTGACAATTATGAGGAAAGCCAGAATTTTATATGCAGTGTTCTTTCTATGCTTTATTTAGCATAAATGGGATGGGTCTGCAGAGAGCTGAACCATGAAGGAATGCTTAAAATCAGCTGAAGTACAAACCCCTCAGTTAAATCTGCACGGATTATGATGACTCATTACATTGCATTGTTCATTAAGCCTAAATTTACTTCAGTTTTACCCAGGGCCCACATCATTGTTAATGTCAGTGTTTTGCCTTTAGTGCCCTGTTGGTCCCTTCACCCCCAGAGAAGAGCTCTTTAAAAGTAATTGCACAAGAGCTGTTTTTCTAAAACTGATTATTAAAAATAACTACTGGGAAAAAGTTGATTAAAATATGTATTATTGAAGTGTTCTAGATCTATTTTTTGTTGGGACTTTGAATCTACATTTAAATATGACATTTTATTCTTACAGAAAGTATTAATTAATCTGACTTTTTTTTTTTTGGCAAGAAACTGCTGCTGTTTGCAAATTAAATACTATAGCTAAATTTTGTATGTGGTTTAATATTGTTTTGGTAAATAAACATATGCAACACTAAAGAGACTGGGCTAAATCAAATGAACACAATCTTTTAGAGCAGCAAAATACACCTTACTGGAATTACATCAGTTTGGAAAGGCAAGGTTCAGACTTGTGCCTGGCACCTGCCTGCCTACTAACCATCAGTAAACTGAAGTGTTCCGAGGTCCAGTGGCAGGGAACGGTCTTCATGGAGTGCAATGGCAACCAGTTGCTGCAGGTCTGTTACTGTGAGTTTAGTTCCTGTTATTTCCCTCTCTTCAACTGGAGAAACTGGAATTTTTTCACTTTCAACCTTATTAGATCCAATAGTTGAGATGTCATCTGCTGTGCTTTTGATTTCTGAGCCATCTCTCTCAAAGTTCACCACGTACCGTGCTATAGTGCTGCTTGATCTGCAAGGGGAAAAGGCAAAAATGCCCAGTGCAGCAAAATCAGTCACTGACTGGGAACCAATTTTACAATCAATCAAATGTGCAGCAATAACATGTTATCTTCTTAAAAGCAATGCAGATTTACTTCTTTCTAACGAGACTGTCACCTTCAAATTACTTTTGCTATGCCTTTTTTCTACTATTCATAATTATAAATAAAAATTCAAATTACAAAGAAAACTGTAAAAATATTCTGATATAACCCATTTTAATTTCACTACTGATCAGTCATTGACTACTGATTCAAACAGCCATGAATGCATGCTGGGGTTACTAAAAGCCATAATTGTGCATTATGCAAGATCCTCAAGTAACGGATTACACAGTCCATAAAACTGCAAATAAGCAAAAATCTTATCACAACTGAGGCAATTTTTTGCTCTTTTTCAAAAAGGAGCAAACAAATTAGTTAATGTGGCAAGCAAATCACTTTTCACAATGGGTCTTAGCTTTTTCCAACTCCAAATGAGATTTTCAGTGGAAACCTCAAATGTTCACCATTATTAATACATCACTTTTCACAAATGTTAAATTCACCTAATTAAAATGAAAAATAGTGAGTACATTGTAAACATTTCTATACTATGTTGCTTTTTACAATATCAAATAACTGTAGAGAAAGGAATTTCACTTCATCTAGTATGTACTATATATTTAAATTTATATGACTTTGCAAGAATTCAGGAAAAACATTAGACAATTCTTCCTTTTAAAGTATGAGTAAAAGAGAAATTTTGTTAACTCCTAGACAAATTATTCCCTGGGAGCACTTTTAAGCAGCAACAACAATAGACTGCATCTGTTTGTATTACTAGTCAAAAACTCTCTGCATTTTATCAAGCTAGTAACTGGTCTCTGCTTTTCTATCTGGCTTAATAATGGAGATAACAAATCAAATTCTACATTCTTATTGAAAATAATGTGTATATGAGAATACAGCTAAGAAACAGCAGACCAAAAATGAAAATTGGAATATAAAGTTTCCCTATTTATTTTTCACTTTCAGTATATGACTGATAAAATTCTTCAGTCATCTGAATGTGAATTTTCATAGATCAAACATTTTCTCTCCTTCAGAGAGATCTTGATAAAATTTGATTACATGAACCTTTCAGATAAAAGTAAAAGCTTTCCCTGCTGCTTCATATCACAGTTTTTGTACTTAGGCAGAACGCAATCAATTCACTTTGCCACATCAAGATAAAGGACATTTACTGATGTATCTATGTACATCATAAAATGATTAATAATCATGATTAATAATTAGTCAATAAAATTATTAATCTTAATTAAGCATTACAGAAAGATTACCCATCTTTCTCCTTCTTCTGTCTTCATTTCATCACAGAAAAAAGGATTGCAAAAGAAAGAAAAACAAAGATTCATATACACTGGTAAATCATTCAGCCATACACATCATAACCATCTTTTGACAATTTATCTGGTATGTGCCATCTATCATTTTTATCTCCATGTGAAAATGACAGTCTACTCTTCATCAGTTCACTTTTCCCCTTCCAAACAATGGTAATCACCGTATTTTGTGTGGGGAGAGAGAGGAATTTTACTTTACCGTGATAGTTTGAAATATAAACTTTCCTATTTCCCACCCCAAATGGTGCAAATTGAGCACTGTCTGTGCTAATCTCTGTCTTTATGGTGGCAATGAACACTGTTCAGTGTGGCAGTGATAGCAACAATTACTGTTACCATACACGGTGCCTACTGAGACTCTAGGCACAGAGGCAACTTGAGCTATTAATTACCTCTGGAAGACATGCCTATGTTGACCTTCTGGATATAATGCCCTGTTATTTTCCCTAATGAATTCTCTAGGATATTTATAATGTTGTTATATGGGAAATGTTGCTAATATATGTGCTAAAATGGCTAAGGGAGAATGGACACCAACACCGGTCTTTGCTGATCTGTACCTCTCAGGAGATGACTAAATTACTAGAATCAACCCTGATGCTGATCTTCCATACTGATGAATGTACTTTCATATCAGATCCGAAGTTCAAGATCCTAAACTGAAATGGATCCCAGATCTGGAGTCATAGCTGAAAGGGATTAGTTGTTGCAAGTTATTGCAAGTTATTGCAAGTAACTATGAGATGCTACTTTAGACTTCTCTGCTTTTTCTGTGACAGTTCTTTGTTTTTTTGATTTCAAAATACAAATACAAGCAAGTAATTTCCAGTCTATTTTGCTCTTCTCTCTCCCTTCCCCCAGCAGTTTTGCAGAGAAAAATGCTAGGAAGAAGGATGCTCTGGTCAAAAATTACATTGCAATATGAGTGTTCTTTGACGTGTATTAAATATTATTAGAAGGACTGAGTGTGTCTGATACTGAGCTGTAAGCCCACATAAATTTATGTCTTTTTTCCCTGTTCTTAATTCCTTTTCAACTGTTTATAGTTTCTTACTATAAGTTATTTTTCATTTAATTCTTTACATAGTGTGCTCTTATCTATAGAAGCATAACCCATTTTTTTATCTCCCTCTACCCTGTAGATTCTCTGCTGAAAACGTACATAAGAGCCTCTATTAGTAATAAACATACAAGGAAGCTATAACTAAAAGAAATTGAAAAATAGAACTCAAATTTACTGAAAAAAAATAACAGTTTTAAATTGTTTGAAACACCTGGAAAGCAAGTACTGGAAAAGTTTTATATGTGCTGACATGTAGCCTCGTGAAACCCTCTCTTCACTGTGATCTATGAATGGCACAGGATCCCCACACAAAAAAGTAGTCACTTAAATAATTGTACTGCTAACTCTCTGCACCTAGTAATTTTAAGAAGTCCTTAATACAGGGTTGCTTGCATGCAATTCAAAGAATTTATTGTATCCTTCACCCCTCAGGGAATCAAAACTACTTATACTTAGTAATTCAAAACCTCCTAATCTCACTTGGAATGTGTTAGCACTTCTCACCATATTGTCTCTATAGTATTCCCATAAAACTGTTTTCTACTTACAGCAACACGCCCCCCCACCTCCTCCACCCCCACCCTAGTCCACAGGTCTCTTCATCTTGAACGACAAGAAGGAACAGGAGAACCCCAGCAGCCAACAGATGAGAGAGCCCCGTTTTCTTACTTACTTAAATCCTAATACGCGGATTTCTTTGAATCCTGGAAGTTTCTCAAATATTCTTTTCATCTATATAAAACCATAAAAAATTAATGTTGTATAAGATCTGTAACTAAAAGGCAAGCACAGGCTGACTACCTCGACAATATTTTTTTCTTTTTGAGAAAAAGCTTTACGAAACAGTATCAACTGCTCTCTTTGTGGTATCGTAATTACTCAGCTTACAATGTTCAATTCGTATATACTGGTTGTATTACCTACTAACAGGCAAGATGAAGCACAAAACATAGCACTTTTATAGTAATTATGTAAATCAGTGATAATCTAGATCATAAGAGAGCAAGTCAAACAACGTGATTTAAACGGTTTTTCAGCAGTTTTGGTTCATGAATTGTTTTGTGATTCAAGTCAGCCGTAAATTGTTAATTACTTAGAAATATTAACCAAATGCAGATAGGTTTAGATTATTTCACAAATTATTTATAAATTAAACAGTTTTAACTGTCTTGTAAAGATAGAATAACAACATACTTTTAATTCTAATGTTAACAATTGTATGATTAAGTGGTTTTGAAGAGAAGATGCATTATGTAGTTAGTAAACAAAGTCTTCAGGCACTTCTGTTCGATGGTAATACCGGAAATCTACAGAGAAACCATATTTTATCAGCTCTGCCAGCACATCCTTCATCATTTTTCTATGCATGTCTGGAACTTAACCAGCAAACAAAATTGCTTGCACTAAGGAATGTTCATAAAACTGATGAGAAGCTTTAGTTAATTTTACTAAGAAAACCCTTTGGGAACCTCAAGTCATTATCTGCTATCTGCTGTTAAACTGATATCTGAACATTCAGTTAATATTATTAATTATATGAAAACACAATACATGTTCCAATTCTTACAGAAACTGGCAATGCACAACAAAATGAGTGCAAGTCCTTTGAAGCATAGTTCAGACAACAGTAACTAATTACTTTACACATTTATATTATATTTCTGATTAGGTTTATTGTAGAAATTAAATTATGACAAAGTACTGTCCATGAGTTCTAGATTAAACCTGAATGATTTTCCTAAAGTTATTCTGTTCATTAGTTGTCTGAGGCTCTACTTCTGTCAAAGCTTTTGGCTTGTTAGCTTGGTGGCTGAACAGATGGCCTGAATGAGGGGAAAAACTGCAGGTCTTGAGATAGCAGGAATTCTGTACAAAGTGAGGGCAGTAGATTCTAATTCTATTACATGGTGAGGGTAGTTTCATAGTATGAACCTCAGCCAAGGTATAAAGTCAACATTTTTGCATCCACTCAGCCTCCTTACCTGTTGCTGAAATTTGGCAGCTAGTTGTTGGTACTCTGGGGAGTTGGGATCACTAAGTTCAGGTGTGTACTCCTGATCAGTGAGAGTTACACTGAATTCTACCATTTGCTCCACAGGGAGTTCAGGGACTGCATTTGTTCCCAGCTCCTGGAAAAGAAGAAAAAAAAGAAAAAAGAAATAAAACTAAGTGATTTTTTTTCCTCCAACATGTTGGTATTTAATAGGCACGTTAAGTTCCCTTTTAAGCCCATTGCCAAAATAACTTTCTGAACCATATTCTACAAACGATGACCGTTCCTATACATATCTGTTGGCTTAATTCTTCTCTCTTTGCAAACAAATTTCTACTATTGTAACTTGAGCATTGCCTTTGATATGCATAAATGAAGATGAAGAAAATCAAACCATTTCTTGCACAGAGACTGTTTCCAAGTCTTACTTTCATCATTGTAAAGTCATACAGCTTTCCTTGCCACTTTGGGGGACCGTGTGTGACATGAAGGAGAGTGACATAAAAATTCTACAAGCTAGCTGGGATCCCACGCTCAGAAAACCCATGGTCAGTCAGAGCAGAGTGCTGGACTCTCTGTTACTGTTTCAGAAGTTTGCATTTGGGTTTTCTGATAATAAAGTAGAATTAGCCCTATCTGTGATACACCTTTCTTGTGCAGTTGACTTTACTGCTGCTAAAAGTACTCATTTTGTTTGCTATTTCCCAACAGTATTTGAAGCTTTTCCTTAAATTTACTAATTTTTGTTCTTTAATTACATTAAATTCCAAATGCCAATTCATTTGTAGGCTATGATGTGCTGCCCACAAGGGGCAAAGCCACTATGGGTGCACTGAGAAAGATTTCCTAATTCATCCTAAATATAAAGTTACTAAAGTAAAGTGACATTTGCTAATTTTAAGATCAGAAGTTATCTCTTGTTCCTTATTCATAAGTAGAACTGAGCTTCAAATTTCAAGTCTTGGAATGTAAGTGCCTGAAGAGGTGATGCAGAGAGGTCACCCAGGAAACTCCTGCCTTCTACCAGGCTCTAAGTCCTTCTTCACAAATCTTATTACTAGTGTTAACACGTATCATTCCTGCATTTCATTGCCAGTGTATTTTATTACTCTTTTTTTTTTCCTGAATAAAATCTTTCAGGGGGTTCTAAAGAAAGCCTGTTAAAAATACAAAGATCTCAGTACAAAAACCCAAATTATTTTTTACTGCATGTACTGCATATACATTGCATGTTCACACTTATTTGCAATACATAGATATTCTGTATTCTTTAAACATGCTTTTATGTTTTCCATTTGCTCAAGGATAATTCTACTCTCAGCCAGACTGCTTGCACCTTGGAAAAAATACAAACAAATAGAACAAAATCAAGAAGAAACTATCCCAAAAGAGCAGCAAGCTCGTTAGCCTGAATCTCACAGTGAGGTGAAGTTTCCACTTCTGCTGCCAGGTAAGTTGGCATAAGGCTCCTAGAGACATCTGTCCCATACATGACACCTAGGCTTTAATACCTTCCAAAAATAAGCAGAACAAGAAACAAGTGTGATTGCAGTGTTAGGGGATAAGAGAGAAAGTAAAATGTTAATAATAGAATCACAGAATGAGTGAAACAGGAGAGAACACTTTCTGCACCCATTGATTCTGCAAAACTCAGCTCTGCTATACCATTCCTTAGGATGCCTCAGTTTTAGAGGAATGTATGTTTTGTGTTGTGTATAAAAATATGGCTCATCAGTTAGAGAAAGAGCATTCTTTGATGTTCTATCATACAAATGGAAAATTCAGGAATATGCACTTTCTACATAGCTGCCCTATAACTTTTGAGGAGCCAACCTTTAGGGAGCTGATGATAAAGGACTGGGCCAAGAAAGAATAAGGAGATCTGTAACAAGGAGGAACTGGTTAATGACAATCATCTGGTACATCTCAAACATCACAAATAAGTGATTTTAAAACCACTTTTTCCTCATATTCTATTTGCTCTTTCACTGTAAGAGCTGAGATATAGGTAGGTAATAGAAAGTTGAGAATATTTAAAGGTTATTTTGCTTTCTTATGTTATGAGGATGTAATAATTTGGGGCAGTAAAACCAGCATTTATTTGGGATCAAGCCAGTACAATTCCTGTGCTGGAGCTGAGGAGCTTGTATAGATGGGATGGGGAACAGTGGCAATTTGCCAGGGGTGTGATGTCAAGGCGTGATGTCAAGGCCTCACCCAGAATTCCTGCCCCCAAATGAGCCTCTTCCTACAGCCAGTATGCACAAAACTCAAAAAGAAACCCCCCCCAACCCCTCAGAGGTTTTTCAATTAGCTGTTCTAGGGGCAAACTTCTTACAAATTGGAAAAATTCTCTGAGCAAAGCAGAGGGGAAATGTAGGAGCTGAGGCTCCTCCCAGGTGATGCCTCGAGAGAGAGGTTCCAAAAGGTTCCCTGAGGCCACACAGCTGTGCTGAGACCAGGGCTACCTCTCTAGCAGCCAGGACAGGGAAAACAACCACCCCTCCCAGCACTCCACCCCTCTCTCAGAGGTAACTGGTGGCAGCTGCTGTAAACCTTTAAAAGAAGGGGTAGTTTCTAGAGTTGTGCTGCATGGCTGCTCTAAGGAGATAGTAGTGGAGATGCTTCTTTGATAGCTGGTTTTCTGGCCAGAAAAAGGCAAGGAAAAGGCCAGTCTTATCTCCTGTGTTGTGGCAGGCCTAGAAGGTATGGTTTCTTGGTGTTATTTATTGAAGAATAAGGTTGCAAAATGGTGCAAGATAGGCAACAGGCCCCTCCTTCAAAGAATGAAGACTGTCCCTAAAAGCTGGTTTCCATACTTTTATGCTTTCTACCTCATACTCGAGAAACATCATGCCCTACTCTGGCACAGAGGAGATGCTAATAGACCCCTTCAGTCCTGCTGGCTGAAACAGATAGGGGAACTCGGGGTTTGAAACACTAAGTGTTTATAAGGCTTCTTCCTATTTTCTTGCAGCTGAGCTCAAAAAAAAAGAAAAAAGAAAAAAAAAAAGAAAAAAGGCGAGTGAAAACTGGGATAGGAAAACAGGCTGCCCTGACCTTCACAGGAGTCTTCGTGTCGTTAACAATTTCATTGAGCAGCGTCCCGTTAGGTGCGTATGGAGAGAGGGGTGTGCCAGGGGAGCCTGCAGCGGGGTGAAAAGAAAAGTCAGGCAAGAACAAGTTTTCACATCAAAACTCTTGCATTTTCTGTGTTGGTCAGGTGTCAGCACAATGGAGCAGCTTTTCTTAAGGAGGGTGTGTTTGAGCACAAGCCTGTGCCATTGGAAGGTGGCCATGACTTATGGCACAGGGAAAGCTGCGATGTTTTATACAATAGACAGACTTTCTTCCAGGTCAAACATCAGTAGCATTGCATATGTGTGACTGAACACAAAAGTCAACTTGGAATGCTACGTTTGAGTAGCAGACATGCCACAAAGAGATAAAAAGTAGCTTCATAAAGATTATTTTGCTAAAAACAGTTTCACTTTACTCCAGTGAACTTGTCCTGCTTCTACTGCATTCATTAAAGTACAGTATTTTAAGACATAAGAATCACTGGCCTTAGCAATTCTGTTTAATGAACAGACATACAAACAGCAGACTTGATTTTACCTGTAGAAATGGAAGGAATTTCTTCCACCTTTTTGCCTCCTATTTTCTCTGCAGATATTTCATCTTTCCTATCGATCAAATAGAAATGAGTGATTTAGTTATCTCCATGCTGTACTGGCAATGAAAAAAGTATAAAAAATATAGAAATATAGAAGTGTGGTTTAAATGAGTGAAGTTATTTCTAATGGAATATTTTCTAAGCTGGTTAAACAGGCAGTGGAACAGTGGATCATGTTTTTTATTCGACAGCTTATGTATTTCCTTTCCTTTTCTTTAGTGTGATATTTGCTCTTAAAAAATACTTATTTGATATATTCCTCTGCCAAAGACTATCCGTCCTATTAGGAATCTTCTCATGAGATTTCATGACTGATTTTATCCATGCAAACAGAGGGGTGGGATTACAGAGATTAAATCAGTGCACTGGGTTCTAGTTTTGTTTCCCTTTGAGGTTAAGGAATGGTAGACCACTGTCTAAAATGGATGCAAGACTTGTACATCATCTAAACCAACTTTTGCCTCCTTTGCTGTATCTCATCCTGTCAATATAGTTCAGCAAGAGCTTTGGGTGTCTTCTAATTTTAGGACCAGTGCATATTTCATAGTACCAAGAGATTTTCATATGGTATGGTGTGAGGAGAGGATGGATGTACTTATTTTTCAGTTGTTGCCCTGCATTATAATATCATAAGGATGCTTCCAAATAATGATAGTTTAAAGTCAGATTCCTGGATCCAGATTACTATGAGATGTAGGAACGTTTATTTTTGCATCTGGATGTAGTATTCATGGGTTAATGCCTGCCATGATCCCCAAGAAAGAATATGGTGGTTATGATGTAAGGTTGTCTACCTTGTATCACAGGATTTGGGTTTGTATTAGTGATATTATTTTCTGTTGTAAGTTTTACAGTCATGAGGTGATGAATACCTTTTGCAATTGCAGCTGCTGGCTTGCCTAAAAAGCAGAAGTAGTATGTATATCTAAGTACATTTTATAATAGATGTATTAGATATTTCTGCAGTTAAGGCTATAGAAAAATTTCTGCCCTAAAACCAAAATTTTATTCATTCAGCTTTTGTAAAAATTTAGATTTTTAAGTAGGAATCTTCTTAGGGACATTTTGAGATTTTTCTTTCCTGAAATTGAGGTGTGAAGAATTTCAATTGTTTTGGGTTCTAAAGTAGGGTGTGGAAAAAACCCCACAGCATAAAATAAAAATACTCCAGTCTTTGAAATAAATGAGAATAGAATTCCTCAAAATTTTTACAGTGCACACAGATGGAATATTTGTGAAAAATGGTATGAGTGAAACAAGAAGGGTATTGTAAATGTGTGGTGTGGTGTTAACTGAGATAGCGTAAAGCCTGTAGTGTAGACAGAAAAGATGTATAAAATACATTTCTATATGGGGCCAACCGAGGTGTTTAATAACATAAATAAAGAACATGAACAACAACTGATTTACCACATCCTCTGCATATCTTAGGCAGTGAGAACGAAAGTACTATTTGTAATGTTTTCACAGTGTTAACTAACTATGTGTTATGTTTTAACTGGAGACTGATCTCTCTACATGGCATCTACAGAAGATAACAAAATGTTTCCCAAGCCACACAATAGTAAAGATGAAGACCAGCGACGCATAATCATGGCTGGCTGTGTTTCCAACTAAGGTACAAGTAATTTCATAGAATTTACTTCATCTTCTGAATTGTGTCTAGGGAAAACCAAACTGTTGACAGAGAACTTAAGAACTCTGAGATTAGTCACTTCACTTAATGCCTTGCTGCTGCTGTTTGCACTAGACTGAATGAAAAGACCTCCCTTTGGCCTTCCAGAGGTGTTTAATTAGGGCCTACAGTATTAAAAATACATTTCTGAGAAAAGCACTCAAATCTCATCATGTTGGAATGAAAAAACGATACCTAAAATCTCTGTGATCACGAGACAATGTAACTTATGAATGTGAAAGATTATTTGCCTGAAAATGCCCTGAAAATCAAAAAAAACTTGAAGGAAAAAACATTACATTATTCAGAGGAGTTGTGGACAATGATTTGTCTGGGTGTCCTATAGTGTTTACATGCAGAGAGATGAGTTCAGTGTTGTAACTTTAATCCTGCCATTCTCAGACTTCTGAGTGTTGCCAGGAGCATATTTTTTTCGAAGAGTTTGTAGAATAAAGTATCATATTAGTTGACACTCTCATGATGTGTAAAAATACAGGAGAAGGCTAAAGTAAAGGCATAGAGGTTTTTATATTATTGCTTAATGAAGCCTCTCAGATAAACCTTTGTTAAGCTCTTGGACTTTCCTATATGAGAAACTACGTAGCAACTTTTGTCACACTTCCAATCAACATTGGTCTAACGCAAAGCCATGTCTGGGACAGGGTTTCATGCTCACATTAGTCTGAGAAAACATTCTGTGGTGTCTCAAAGTGAACAGGTAACTCAGACATTTGGCCACCTCCATTATTTGTGATTCAGTTGCTCTGTACTATGATACATACAGTACACACCTCTCTCACAGCACGCACCAAATACGCTACAGTGCTATCTGTATATCTGTTCACATCCACACTCATCTACACGTATCTTTCTCAAAAAAGGCAGTAACATCAAGTGGCAAGGTTCTACTTGTGCTACTTACCTTTCCTGGAAGGTTCTATGTTTTACTCGCTGCAAAAAGATTAAGAAAAACAACATTTTACTAGTGGGTGTATCCAACCAGAGAGACCAGAAACCTGTTAGCTCTTTTTTTTTTTTTAATATACTTTTCTATTTTCCTTCTAAGGATTCTAAGATATGCCCCCTCTTCCTCCTGAGCAATACTTTGCCCTTAAATAAGCAGATGGGGAGGGACTTGGAAGTCTCTTCCAGTTTCTAAACAAGTGTCAGTAATCCTTACCCGTTGGATTATTTCCAGATGCTCTTGGGAATTACTGAAGTTTTTGCCAATGTCGAATATGCAAAAGGTTTCCCTCTGGCAGGCAGTAACCCAGTTCTGATATTCAGAAGTATCAGGAATCCGATCCAGAAAAATACGAAAGGCTTCCCACACAGCTTCCTGGCAGACTGAGTAAGAAGAAAGGGACTGGGGATGGATGTTGTCTACCAAAAAGTAAACTTGAAAGCCTTTTAAAAGTGATTTGGTACTTACACATTCATCATTTGAAACGAAGGAACACACTTTGAAATGTTGGTTAAAATGTAATGCTTTTAGAGAGAGGAATTTTCAAACTTATTAGAAAAACCATTTTAACAGAAACTTGCAATTTAAAAGCTGTTGCCCATAGTGCTTTACTTTGCAAAGCTCATTACTGGGAGATGGGTCATTTATTTTCAGTACTTGGTACCTTCTTTGACTTAGAGTGAGTTCATTATCTGCATTATCAGTGTCTCTGAAATTAGTGCAGCCAGTTTCTCTAGGTATACTCTAAACTTGCTGTAGGGATGTACTCACCCAGCTGTGTTAAGGCCCCTCAATAATACCTCAGGAGCAACTTGCTCTCCCGGTAGAGCAGCTGCATGTGGAGCAGATGTGGTCAGACTATTAAAAAGGAACAGGCTGTCTTTTGAGGAGATTTATTCATTATGAGCTAGCAGTTAAAGCTGCTTTTCTATCCTCTTTTCCTCGCAACTCTCTGGTACCTGTTTTTCTGAGTGGCAGCTGCTGAAGAAAGATATACTGTCTGATAATAAGTAATCCAAAGAAACGTGACACCTGACCAGTTGAGGAGGTGTTGTGGATGATTCCATGCTTTCACCCAGTTTGCCCCACATCAGGGACTTTCCTCGCTGTGACTTATGCTATAGTGTGTTATTTCAGAGTTGGTGTAGGGTCACAGTAGGCTCAGGTTATCCACTAGAAACTGTCTGAGCTCCTATATCTGAGCTCTTTTGTGTCTTGTGCTCATTCCTGGAGGCATATTTGTGTGTGTTAAAAAAAATAATTGTGTAATTTTTCTTAGAAAGCAGAAACATTCTCTAGAGGACTGAAATGATCCACAGTGCTATTGCTATTGCAGTTCTAAATGTATCATGGGACTTGGAGGGGTAGAAGTGATGTCCTAGACTTTAGGCAGAGAAAACAAGAGACCTGAAAGTATATGCACAAAAAAAAATGAAGGTAAGATTGTGCCCCAGATAGGCACAGGCTGTAAGGCTCCAGCATGGATACCAGGTTACCTTTCCATGAAGGCCTGTGCTGTGGTTACAGATTCAAGGATTGTGATATTTCCTCGCAGGAAATATTTTTTGAGGTTTTAATGAAGGATACTGTAATGGAAAATGTGCAACTATTCAAGGGAGCAGAAACTGCTTTTTCTGACTGAGTGTACAAATTATTCAGCTGCAGTCATCTTTTTGATTGCTTGCTTTTTGGGGAAGTACTCAGGTTTCAGTTGAAGAACTGGATGATGCCTGTTCAGAGAATTTTGTGAGTGTAGGACACTGCTAAGGAAAAGGAGATGTAAGTTTAAACCTGCTTGCACTACAAGACTTACAGAGTCCAGCTGATGTGCTGCTCTCCAAAATATTGGTAGTATTGTCATATTCAGTTTTTTAAAAGAAAGGATCATACTTACGGTTCTTTGAGTTCAACTAATGATACCAGCCTATTTCAGGACTGCTTGTTTTCAACCCCATCTGGGATGTAACCAGTGAGTTTCAGGGGCTTTCAGGATTAATTTGAATTTAAGAAATGTTTCTTGGATCAGCCTCTTTAACACATTTCAGATTTCTGTCTAGTGCCCATTGGATACTACAATGGAGACCAAATACTTTTGTATCTATAGGAATAGCTACTGACATTGGTGTAATTTTCCCATGTTGCCTGTAGCAAGTGGCTGCTGGAGTAAAAGTTTTGCAGCTCTACATCCAGGTTTCATTTCAGAGGGAGCTACCTGAAAGAGAGCCGAGGAGCAGCCAAGTTACATCGATGTATGTGAATGTTTGGAGACCAATATAGAGGAAAAACAGATAAGCAGAGGTGATTTAGAGGGCAGATGTTGCCTTGGATACTTGCATTCCAGAAATGCTGACTAGGTTTTAGAATTAGCTTTGGACTGTCTAGCTGCAGTGCAAAAATATGCGTTTTTCTAATACAAATTTTAACAGTCACTGAGTGAAAGACTGGGAGGGATAGAGGGAGGAAGAGAGAAAATACAAAACCCAGGAGCCTATTTGCACTGTGCTCTCTAGGGACCTAGAACTGGAGTGGTAACTCTGTAGGCTCTCTATGGGCAGGGGAAGTAAAGAAGGGCTGAGGAGAGACCAAATTAGATGAGAAAGGGCAGAGGAAATATTTGAGACATTTTGAAAATAAGACTAAGTTCTTTTCATGTCCTGTTGACAATTTATCTCAGTGTTTGTTTTATACTATCACTGCTACAGCCTTACTGTAACTACAGGTACACCAACATATTTGTGCACTGAACAATTAATACTTTCATTATTTGTCTTAAACTGGTGGGATTAATTCTGAGTTGAAATGATGGTACCTGCTGCACTTATGAGAAAGGTGGTACATCTTTATACAGTAATGCAAGCATAATTTGGTCTTCACATTCTTCAGCTGTGCTAGAACACTATGCAATTACTCCAAGTTCATTAGTCCTTTGAGTGCATTTTTTTTATTTTCTTCTGGTAACTGTCTGTCTTGAACCCTTCTGATGCACATGTAACATTATTTATGTAATGCTTATCTATGTAAAAATAAACCATACAGCAAATAGCACATGCACTGCCTAAAGGTGAAGAACAAGATTCTGGAAAATTACTGTGTTTCCTCAGTTAAAAGAAACATTTTGCAGGAAGAAGTACATGCTACAATAATCATCTTACCTCTTAATCTATAGTAAGCTTGGTGACTGGCTAAAATCTGCTTCATGGATTCTTGTGGACAAACTTTCACACCAGTGGAGAAGAAGGATGACCTCTTTGTTCGGTGTTTTGCCATGTCAAATATCCGCCTTATGGTTGATACTCTCGACCTCTTTGTTGTTCTTTCTGTTTTGTCTGACCCTGAGGCGTCTGCAAGATGTTTGGCTTCAGCATGGTTTATTTTATTAGGGATTTCTGGAAAAAATGAAAATATATCATGTACATAAGCATCGTTTGCATAGGTAGTAGGTATCCAAGGCAAGTTCATGTCTGGAGAATGGGAATGAACTTGAGAGTCCTTTTTGTCACAATATAGTGGCGTCAGTGCCCTGACCAAATTAGTGTGCTGAGGTGAAGCATCCTGTGATCACATGGGGGAACTGGGGCTCAAGAGACCTGGCAACTAATTTCCTTATATCTCAACATGTGACCCCAGGACACATAGGGTAAAAGTGTCAGAAGCCCTAAATCCTGTTTTCAAAAGCGACTTTAGATTAGATCCACAAAGGACACTTAAGTGCTTGAACTTTACACTACAGCATCTCATTTGTGAGCATATTGACCTGTGGAGAACTTTACAGTGCAGTGATAAGTAATGGTCTGGAGCTTGGGGAAAGTAAAGAATATCTCTATCAGTCTACAGTGCAAATAGGTGTCTGCACTACCAGACAAGTTAAATGAGAAATTGTTGTACCTTAAATCTCCAGCCTTTAAGATATTTTTTCCGTTCCTTTAGGCTTCAAGGCATATCCCCCTTCATGTCAGGTTCATAGTCTTGAACCTATCCCAAGAACTAGACCCTGAAACTTTCAAAAGTTGAACAGGCGTTTTATTGACTGTGGGGAAAGAAGGACGTGTTTCCACTCTCCCTCTTTTACTCCACAGTGCACTTCTCCATCCTTCCCTCACATAAACTGAAGTATTAGCTAGAACAGACTACAATTGTTTCTTTACAACTGGTTGATAGGCGTTGTGAAAGCTCTGGCATTGTATTTCAATAGATCTTCAACAATTCCTGGCAAAGTGGAACAACTCCAGTTGAAAAAAGCAAAATCAGTGAGTGGAAATTGAAGATCTAGGATTAAATTTTATCTATGGAGCTATTCAGCTATGAAAAATGGAAATACCTATAGGGTGTCCCACTGGCCTCAAGCACAGGAACCCCCATCACAAAAGACATGCAAAAGTTCATGACTAATTTAGTTCCACGTCCTATTCAGTATTACATGACATAGCAGCTAAATTTAATGCAAAATATTGATGGTTAAAAATAGCATATATATTACACATTTAAATGAGCTGAAATACAGCATTTTGCAGGATCATGTGACAAGAGCACTAAGTATCTTTTAGACTGTCTTCCAAAATTTTGTATACATATTAATAAACATGTTAAAATTAATCTGGAAATACCTTTTTTGGTTGCCTTTTCATAAATTTGATACAGCGATTACAGATAAAAATTAAAGAGAAATGTAAACAGAATAAAAGACATTTTCAAAGAACTGGGAAACTTTAAGCAAGGTATATTTGTTCCAGAATCCTGATGAATCAAATGAAAAAAATACTTTGAACAACGGTTCAAAAGCTTGTAACAGAAGAATAAAAGGAAATAATCATGTTAAAAAGGAATAAATTCAGTAAGAACAGCACTATCAAAGAAGGTATAAGATTGGGAGTTTGCTGGAGAAAGAAGAAATGTCATGCTGCATATAACACTAATTAGCATGTTCTTAAGGAAACCAAGAGAAAACAAGGAAGGTTAAAACCGCGTTATCTTGACAATTTGGAACCGCGTTAATTAAATGCTAAAAGTAGGCAGATAAATGATAAAGAAAAATATTTGAAAAGCATACTGTTACAGAAAGAACAGTACTTAAAATAAAGCATAGGGAAAGTTCCACCATGTATATCAGTATATATGTATATGTGAATGTGTATCTATTTGTCTCAGTTCTTACTTAACTTCAAAATGAACATCCAATGTTTACAGTGTAGAAATAGTAGTGACATCTGTATTTTGAGAAAGGTGCTACTCTGATACAGTAAAAAGTCTACTGGTTGATTATGATGAATATTGTCTGAAAGAAAGGAAGTTATAAAATAAGGGCAACAGATTAACATTATGCTGTGTTATGCATGCCAGAGGCAGCAACCTGTAGACCTAAAACTGTCTCATTGTAGCAAGGTAATTTAAAATAATGATTCAGTCATATAGTTTTTGACATTAAAAGAAATGGAAGTACCTTTTCTACATTAATGTTCTGATCATGAACCCATAAACTGCATAAAAGCTGTGAAAACTCATCGCTAAGTTCATCAGAAACCACAAGTGGCCAAACACTCCATCAGGTGAGTCAATGAGTTATTTGAATGGTATATGGGATGAGAGAATGCCATTGATGTGCCAAGGCAGACCCCTGAAATGCCCTAGAAGAAAAAAACCAAAAATCTACAGGAAGGTAGCCAGCTGTAAGTTCTTTCACAAGGTATACCTTTTACAATGTGTATTAACTGCAATAGAGCAGCTGCCCAGGCAGCCTGACCAACTGGGGCAGAGGATTTTGTCACTAAGCTCTTTGATAGCTTTTGTATGAAGCAGAGACCTTTCTTGAAGGATTTACTTCTTCTCCAGGATTTACCTCTAAGTCATTAACTTGAATTAAGAACTGTACAGTTCTTAAGACTAACAAAGGAGATTCTTCTCAAATGATTGTTGTAATGATTTCAAACTCTCTAGGTTAGAGGCCCTTTTTGGGTTTTTCAGTCTGAGAAAATGACCATACTTTTTCTGCTTCAGTTAGAGCTGTTCTGCCAGCCTATTTTGGGTGGATTTAAATTCTTTCTCTTTTCACTTTTTTTTTGAGGGATCTGTTTCTAAAGTATCTCTACTATAATGGGTTTAATTTAAATTTTACCTTCTTGTTAGTAAATTTCCAGTGCTAGAATAACTCTTATTATCATAATTCTTTGAAATCACTTTTTTACTAAACTTAAGCAAAATTTCAATTGGAGCAAATATCAGCCCTTCTCTCCATATGATTGTCCAAAATTAATTTCCTAATATTTACTGATTGTGAATGGGAGAAAACCTGCCTTCTGCTAAAAACATTTGCTCATAATTTTTCAGATCTGTGTTTTCCCCTGGTCTCTGGAAATTCTGAGCTGAGAAATTTTTGCCTACGACTCCCAGGTGGTTCAGCCACATACTTTACATATCTCTCCATCTACAACTTTCTAGAGGCTTTGTTTTCATCATCTTGGATTGGAAAAAAAATAATCAAAAAAGACACATGCTATTATGAAATTGAATCCGTACATATTAGGTGATCTCTTTCCTTTTTACCATGCAACATGCTAATCGAGTAAACTGGAGAGGTGCAATTTTACAGGGTACATCATTTGATCATGTGAAAAATCCCAATAATACTAAGTTGGTATGCTTTTCTTAAAATAAGTGATCTTTCTAAATTTTTTTTCCTCATTCTTTTTTCTGAAATAAACATATGTAATTAAAATATTCAGAGTTTACCTTAAATACACCCTGTCCAATTTGACTTTTTCTTGTTTAACTCTGTTGTTTAACTCAGTTTTACCTTTAAAAGTTAAGATTTTGAGTTTCCTTTGATAGTTTTAGGGCAGAAAGGCAGATAACTGTAGAAGTCTCCTAAGAAGTCTGCTAGTTTAGTGTGCTTCAGCTTATTCTCCGAGATGTTTTAAACAAACCTGTAATTCTCCTCCTTTATTCTCACATGAAAGAATCTACACCATTGTCCTCATTTTGCAGGTGACATACTTGAGGAAAAATATTGAGGTAGTTTTATCTACATAGTTTCTGTCAGCTTTTATTAAAATCTGGAGTTTCTGACCTCTAGTTCCGAACTTAGACAAATATAACAAAATTTTTTCAAAATACCATAAAGCACTTTTCAAAACATGATGCAGCAGTCTAATTCATATGGGATCTAATCAAATTGATTTGATATCTGTACTGATCTCTCAAGTGCATAGTACTGTTCTTCAGGTTTTGTTTTCAGGCAGATAAATAGTATTCATTTCACAAAAAGAAAATCTGAAATCCTTGGAATTAGGCCAGGCCTCTCCTCTGTGTCTCTTGAGACCTGTGTTATCAAATTTATACCCTACCTAAAATAAAAAGGCAGGAAGAATTTTTTTAAAGGTGAAAATTCTTATGTGTTTTTAATAATCTGCATAATGAAAAAGAAAAAGCATAGTTATTGAACTGGATTCTAGCGAAAGAGTTTAAAGCCATTTGGATAACTGGTCAGCATTGGGGCTTTTTGTTGTTTGTTTGTTTGTTTTAAATTTGCTTTTATAAACACAGGAGCAAGAAGCTCATATTCATACCTTTTTGTATAACTGTAGTGGATGCTTCTCTATACAACTTTATTAATTTCTCTCTGTTAATAGTATCAGTTTTGGGAGTCCTTCAATTTTGGTGTTGGTAGTTTGGGTTTTTTTTCAACAATGTAGACAATCTCTGTGTAGGAACGTTTGTCTACAGCATTATTTTGGCAGTAAACTTCTAGTTTGCCCTGAGAAAATTTAGATGTTATCATATACAAAGAGAAGAATTTAAGATATGGTAACTAAAGGTTTGGCAGCAAAATTCAGGGTGACAAAAGTCTGAGTAACCAACCCATCATTAAATCATTGCAAGGTTTGAAATGTGTGAAGAAGCAGATGAGTCTGAAAAATAACTGGGCCAGCTGTCCCATGTTGATCTCTGAGCCAGTAACCAAAGCACGGCTGACTAGTCATGGAAAGCTGATCTTGAGATTTCTTAAAGCCTGATGAATGTAAACACCAGGTGAAACATAGAAAGTACAAAGAAAGGTAATATCCTGGACTCTTACTACTTACAGTATTCTCCTCCTGTCATGGCGATAGTGAATATCCCACATTCTAGTGGCACTTGCCAGTGGCAGACAGGGTGCCCTGGCATGCTCTCTCCTTATATTAAAGTATGATGTGGCCTTATCATCAAATGCAACTGAGATCCTGCATGTGACTATTACTAGGAGCAGCACCTATCTTCTCTCAGAGAAGCATGCAACAATGTCTATCTTCCTATACAGATGTGAAAGTGGAGGCCCTTTCTCTGTACTCTTGTTCAGGCCTCCTTTGCCAGGGCTTTTTCAGACACTGTAACTGTGTTTGCATTGCATGTCCAA